TTTAACGACACATGGTACCAACCACCAGCAACAACAGCTCTATGGCTGCGCGGTATCCACATTCCCCGACAGTTCCCATCCCTTCCCCCACAACAACCACATACACCCACAATCCACGCGCTCCTCATCGAAGGCGATTTATCGGCGGCCTTCCCCTATGCGGCCTATAACGGATCACTACGGCGCGCTGGTCACCGCACTTCTTCATCGACACGGCGCGCTACCTGGGGGCTTATCTCGAGACGATCCCGCGGCTTCTGCGGCCGGCCGGTGTGTGGGTGAATTTTGGGCACGTTTCTGTACGCCTCGGCGCCGTTCGTGCAGCTCGCGCTGAACGAATTGGTGGCGGTGGCGGAGACGGTGGGGTTTGAGTTGATCCTGGTGCCGGTGCCTATGCCTGTGTCTGTGCCTGTGGAGGGGGAGGGGGGAGGGGGGGGCTGGGAGAAGTGTAAGGCTGGGGGGGGGTTGGTGCCGGGGAAATGGGTCTATGGTGTGGAGGCGGTGTATGGGTTTGATGAGAGGGCGTTGACGAGGAATGCGTATGAGGCGGTGTTTTGGGTGGCGAGGAGGGTGTAGGTGCGGGGTGGTCTGCTAGGTTTTTGGTTTAAGGATATGTCCAGGAAGGCAATGTGTGGGTATAACAACGGTGGCCGCTTGGGGGTAAGTTGAACATTCAGTACTGTATCATAAGGGCATGCGGAGATGGTTTGAACAGCATGACAAAGTGCATATGGTCTCACGCGGAATTCCTGGGCTGAATTGTGCACTTCGAGTATGTATTTGCAAATCTTGGTGATAATACGCCTCAATATCTCCCAAACATGTAGATCCCGTGGCCTTGTGTTGAACTAGTTTCCACCGGGGCCCAGATATCTCGAACACACTCAAAAGTAGGGGGGTCAAAGTGAGCCCAACTGAAGATTGTCAACCCAAAATGTCCACTTCAGGGGTTCCCGCGAAATTTCAAAAACTCACTTGTTTTCTTCATAAAGGTATCCTTGCCATCGTCAGCATCACTTCGAGTCGGCAGCGCAGTGATAGCCCTCGCTGCCGGCAGGGCAAGTAAAGTCCCCGTGGTCCTCGTGGCAGGGAGGGTTGCCAAAAGCGCCCTCGAGGTTCAGCCACGATTCGCAGCAGAACTCGCACGAGGGAGCAGCCACTTCGTTGCAGGGCCAGTTGTTGGCAGCAATGGCGTCGCGGACAGCCTGGCAGTCGCTCTGGCGCGGCTTGAGTGCTCTGGTGGCAGGGGAGGCGGCAGCCAAGGTGGCGAGGGTGGCCGTGAGAAGGGTGGTGAACGAGACCATGTTGGCGGGATGGTGTAGATATTGGAACTTTGGCGCAGGGGTTGAATCGATGTGTTGTTGCTGGAAGTTGAACTTGTGATCTGGAGGATCAAGACACGCTTCTTCCAGTGAGACTTCCCCCCATTTATACTCAAGCCAAACTAGCATCATGCCCCGTTACCGGCGCTGTTCTTCTAGTTCCGGGTTCTCAAGGTTAGTGGCTGAAGCTTGAAGCAAGACTCGGAGTCACTGCAATGTCCCAGTAAGAGCTTATGCCAAGTCCAAGTCGAGCTCCAAGTTCGCTCTTCTCCATGCCAAGGTGAGAACCTTGATGACTTTAAACCAACTGATCACGCTAAAGTCCAACCCCCGCGATGAAGAGCGTGTAAAAGTCTCTGTTGCCAAGGGGTGACAGCGAAAGCTTGAGGGATTTCCCCCCCCCCACGCCAGACCGGTCCATAAACCATGTTGAGAATAAAGGCCCTAGCATGTCAGCCACCTTCCCTTCACCACTTGCCAGTTGTTGTTAGAATGCTACGCCACGCTCGCGAAAGAGAATTCGCCCCCGCGCGCCAAGGAGGTTGAGCACCCTGATGGCCCTTCAGCTCTTGTTTTTGGTCTGGCACGGTAGCGGGAAAACAGCCTTTTTGACCGAAAGGCTCACCGTGGCGTTGGTGAGGACCTCTGTGTCTGCATGTCGGAAATCAATAGTTCCAACATCACCACTACCGTGTGTCATGGTGTTTGCCACAAGAGCCAGGGGTTGAGAGCCACGCGGGGGTAGGGCCGGTGGCCTGGTGCCCATTTCTGGTCACATTTAACCACGGTTCTCGCCTTCTCCTGCAGTGCTCCCACGGATGCAGGTCCACGCAGCTTCTTCGCCGAATCACTTGAACGGCCGAACCCATCCTGCAGAGATGCCGCCCGTAGCGTACCCCTCGTTCTTTCTTGTTCTGCTCCAGGCATGGCGTGCCGTGGGCTTGCCCCAGGGTATCACGCCCTCCGTGCAGCCGAGCTGTTTGTAAGTGAGACCAATATTGAGCACCCAAGTTTGCTTGGGCATCCCTAACACATGGCCACTTGACAGCCCGACGACCACGACGGTCTATGGCATTCCAACCGCCGTTACCGACTTCGGTTCTTTCGTGTCGTCCATGAATAGCCTTTACTCGACTTCAGGCGTCCCCTTCTCCGGAACCAGGGTCCCGTTCTTCACCTCGGTCGTCCAGGTTTCCCCCGGAAAGCTGTACACGGGTTACGGGTATTACGACTCGGAAGCACTCAAAAGTGCGGGCTATAGCATCATCACTTCGGTCGTCACCACCACCACGTGTCCCACGTCGTCCTTGACGCCGACTCTGCCCCCGTCCCCAACCGGTTCTCTGTGCAGCCCGCACGGCGACCACTGTAGGTAGCCAAGTTCCTAACGAGGTACTGCCCCCAGAGAAGCTGACAGATGTTGCAAGGGCACTGTGAGCCGTACCCATCAAGCACACAATCATCGGCGGGAGAATGCGAGCCCCATGGAGATCACTGGCACTGTCCTCCGGGCGTTCCCGAGCCTACCACGCCTCCGCCGGCTGAGACGACAACCACATCATCACCACCAGCCGGGGAGTGCGAGCCTCACGGCGACCATTGGCACTGCCCCCCTGGTGTTCCTGAGCCTACCACCCCTCCTCCGGCCAACACACCCACCACCTCACCGCCCTTGGCCGGCGAGTGCGAGCCTCACGGCGACCATTGGCATTGCCCCTCCGGCGTCCCGGAGCCCACTACTCCACCATCCAGCCCCTCAGCGGTGCCCACAAACCCGCCCACCCACGGCGAATGTGAGCCCCACGGCGACCACTGGCACTGCCCGCCGGGTGTCCCCGAGCCCACCACACCCCCGGGTTCCACTCCAACCGACACCCCAGGAGACGGAAACAGCGGCGAATGCGAACCCCACGGCGACCACTGGCATTGCCCTCCCGGCGTGCCCGAGCCCACCACCCCGCCTGGCACCTCCCCCACCGATGCCCCGGGCGGTGGTGGTGGAGAGGAAGGTGACGGCGGCGGCGAATGTGAGCCGCACGGCGATCACTGGCACTGTCCTGATGGCGTGCCCGAGCCGACGACCCCGCCTGGTGGTGACGGCGGTGCAGCAGTGACTTCGGCGACTACGACGGCGCCGTCGGCTGTGGTGACGGCTGGTGGGGGACGGGTTGGTGTGTCGGGTATGCTTGGGTTGGTGGGGTTGGCGGTTGCGGATTTTGTGGGTTAGTTTAGTCTGGTTTGATTGTTTGGTGGGATTGATGTTGGTTGTCAAGATGGTGTAATCCGGAGAAGAGAGGGGTGGGTAAGGTAATTGGTAATGGCTTCACTGGTATATGTAGGTAGACGGGCTTGAAAAATCTATTGTTAACCGCAAAACTGATCGAGGGGAAGAAGGCCAGACGGCAAGGCAGGAGGTTAGCCGAGGAGGTTAGTTATTAGAAACCAGCAAACCGAAACCCCCCAGCCCAAAGCTACCTATCCAGTGCTTCTGAACAAGGTATCGGCGGCGCCCACACAGGTCTCATTGGCATGCGGCCATGATACCACACTGGATGCTCGCCGTTGGGCCGCATGGATGTGTGTCACATCACAATGGGGGTGGTGCTAAACATAGACGAGGCCACTTGGTACTGACTCTGCTGGGCCGTGGCCTCCCGGCTGTCTTGACGGTTGCTTGAATGGGTTTAATCCTGAAGTTGCCACACCACCACTTCTCATTGGGGCGCAAGTGTGGTGTTGGTTGGGTTGGTTGGTGCCAGTGTGCTCTCAACACAGTGTGGCGTCTGAACATTGACAGTTGACTAAACCTAACTTGGGGCCAACCGTCTGCACTGGCAGTTGCGAGTCCCCGACCCCCCGACTTAGGTAGACAACTCGATTAGAGCAGGGCTAGATTTCACGAGAATGATGAGATTGTGATTTATGAGAAGAGGTACTTGCCTTACCTACGTGAAGAGTGAAGCCAACGTCAACGCCCCGGGATCCAGCAGCTACTAATAACGCCTTGTTCTCCCCTTTCAAGTTAGTACCTCCGACCTTCGAACTTCAAAGCCACTCGGAAAGTCAAGGTACTAGGTACCTCCGTGTATAGTGTACTGTGTAGAGAGTCCGAATAATGTTTAGTTGTCGGCCGAAATTGGCCTTGTTGGAATCAGTTGGCTGTTTAAGATTTCAATTTTCATCAGTCACATGAGGTTTGAGTGCGCCGCACCGTCCGGCTGGTTGGTGACTTCATGTTGGTGTTGAGTGCCCAGGTGCCCAGTTGGCTAGGTGCGGCCCGTGCGCGAACTATGAAACACCCAACCACTAGCGCTCAGAGGGACACCAGCCCGGCCTTCAGCTCCCCACAACTGTGCCCTTGGCTCCACTCGAGCACAACCTGAAAGTTCAGTTGTTCATTCAATGTGAAGAAAAAGAAAAGGCCAACGAACGCCGCCACGTGCCCCCGGAGCCGCTCGTTGGGACGGAACATCTGGCCCAGGTTTTCGCTTGCCGAATTTGTGACATTGTGTCGGGGGCCGTGGCCCGCTGTTGGCTCCGATTTATTTCTACCTTGGGTAACTACCATAGCGCGCCAAGGGGGAGTGGGAAAACGGCTACTGCTACCGTTTTCCAATGTCGAAATGATTTCGCCGAGTGACTAGTCGGGCATGGTTCAAAACGCGATTTTGCGTTGTATTGAAAACGGACCTCCCTTTGTGGAACCCTTTTAGATAAAAGTTATTACCTAAACAAAATTATGCCAAAGTCGAGTTATTTCAGCTCAAAATCATTTTGCAATGGAAATTGTTTTGTGGCTGAAAGATCATTTCAACTCTAAGCTGTCACATTATTGACTTGGTCACTCGACTGTAAAATCACTGTCGCATTAAGACTCTCTTGAGCTTATACTACTTTGCATTTAATGGTGCCTTTGCCCGCAGGGTATCCTGGATGCGATATCCTCCTGAAGGTTGAAGCCGGCCTTGAGCCGAAGATTTGTCTGCCGGTGAAAAATCCGGTGAGTGATAAGATGGTCTTCTTGTATCAAAATGAAGCTGTCATTCATTGGTGCTATCTTCGGGCTGATGTCGCAGGCCTGCACCCCGCATTTCCGGCCCCGCCCCCAGCCACTGCCCCCACGCTCCAAGTGCACTCACCATGTTCTTCGCCACGCATGGTTGGAGTCGTGGTACCAGGCGTGGCAGTAACTGTAAGTGCAGAATTCCATTAGCATTCAGAGTGTCTCGCGGGCACTGGGACGCCGTGGAAAACGGACCAACTGTGAAATATCCTCGGCCGGTAGCAGCATCCGCTCTGCCGTCGAGACTCCTGTGGAATGGGTATCCGCGATGATCGGTACATGCGACCGTCTTGGAGGCAGTCTGGCTCGTGGATTCCGCAGTTGATGGCCTGGCCCGGAGTCGGTGCCTGTTGGGGTATGCGGCCCCTTCGAAAACGTACTGATTTGTGTATTCCATACTTGGTGCCCTGCTCTATTGTCAGTTCCAAATTCGCATCATTGCATGCCTAGAGGGTGATGGCTTATCTTTCTGTGGCTGTGCAGATGGATGCCGGTGCGAGACTGGGTCGCGTCGAAATGCCTATCCGGCGTCATCGGATTCGCAGTTAATCTGTCAGACAGTAACCAGCTCGAGACTTCTCGACGCTGGACTGGAACCCAGCCATGTAGGGCGCTTGCGCTACATGCCTCGGAAGAACTGTGAAAGTAGTCTTCTTCGGCGTCGATGGATGCGCGCCGAGAAACAGTGACACTGTCCGCTGCGAACGTGCCAATCGTAGAAGGACGTATAGACTGCTATACAAACTCTGAAATTTGGGTGGGTTTCCAGACTGCGGAATGAGTGCTAAAATGCGATGGCCAGTCGTCGTCATCCGGTTCGACAACAGTTGGTAGTTACTTGGCGTCCTGTATTGATGCCTTGCATCAACTGGTATCAGGAGATGCTAAGCAATCCAAGATCATAAGAAGTGCGATAAATGAGAGAACGCAACGCAACGTCCAGCCGGCGTTGGATGGAGGTTTGAAGTGTGACCAGGATCCAGCGGAATTTGTGGGAAAAGGGCAAACTGGTGGGGTGTTGTGCAGGGCCCAACGGGTCCACTCAACAGCATTTTTGATGTGGGGAAAGCCGGGCCTCAGCGGCCTCGGCAGACCATACCGGACACCTGCCCTGCCCGGACCTCTGAATGTTGACAATTTTTGCAGTTTACTTTGCATCGTTTGTATGAAGGTTCGGGGAAGGCTGCTTCTAATACACCCCCGATATAAATAGGGCGGCGGCCCGTAAACTGTGAAAGAGGATACAGTCACCTGGACTGTTGTATCTTAGCACCCTGTCCCTCATGACACGGAGGGCAATACTAAATAGCATCAATTCATCATTGTCCTCGACTTCTCACAGTCCTCAACACCATAATCTCTTGATCTACAGGAGACGGCAAACACCGGCAAGGACGCGGCGGCGTTACACAGCACTAATGGACATGATAAACCGGACCAGCTTATTGGACCACTTGTTTCACCGCAACTGTGAAAATACTGGTCGGGTGTGATCTGTCATGACATTTCCCCTTGCACCGTGAGTTCCGTACACAGTCCTGCGTTCACCATATTTTCGTGAGATCAACGCTGCAGTGTAATAAGATGCGCCGCCCGCTTCCAATTTATTTGCCGTTCCCCCTCATGCTTGACGCGCCATATCTTTCCACCTCAAGATTGTCCCGTTTTAGAAGGCTTCCTCTGGAGTTCTTACGCCGACACAATCCCCATGACAGCATCATGTCGAATCAAGGATTATCTTTCACAGCGAAACACCCTTCACCAGGACAGGATCCTGACTCCAAGTTTGTTTGCACGGTGCAACATCGTTGTGGTCATGACAGGGTTGTTATGACCAGGTTATTTTAACTAAAAGATGCCCTTCCCATTTGCACACTATCAGTAACCGAACATTTAGTTGGCGTGGAATATTCGTTAGCGGGACGAAAGGATTTTGATTCTCAGAAATGATGATTCTGATGAAAATGCGCTTTTGGGAGCGAAATAACGCTAAAGAAAAACAGTTTGTGGCTGGGACATGCGCTGTGGCGCAGAGAATGGTGCCGACACGGAGAGGATGTGCCAGCACCCCGATAGTTTCAACTCATCATGACTGCAGTATCCATTTTGGCCGCGAGGGCGACTCTCACCCAAAGCGGGCTTACGTGATGTCGTTGTCTTGGCTGTACGACTGTGGTAGCGCCCGTTTTGAATCAGCAACGTAATCTTAATCACGGTAGAATAATCTTGGCACTTCAAAACGCTATGAGTGACCGTTTTGAATCCCCCGCGCGGCGCGCTATGGTACCTAGGTATGTATGTATTTACATACATGTACCCACTCAGCCTTTGGAGCGTTGGAGCTTTAGAGAGGGTGCCTCCAAATGCCGACGCAGCAAGCAAGAGACCCCTCTCCCCCGATCTAGTAAAACAGAACCTTTGCCTGCCTCTTCCAGATTCGACAAACACAGTTTTCTCACATAAGACTATTGTTGCAGCGCTTCCCATACTGCCTATTCAATCATCCACAAAACTCATCTGGTGACCTGGTCAAGTGGTGTGGTCAACATCCAAAATCCAGTCGACATTAGCCCACGCATCACCCCTTCTCGCTCGATTACCTGCGACATCAACACACGCACACCCCTACCATGAACCTTCGGAAAACAAAGGGTACACTTGAGATAGCTACGAGAGCGGCGACCGACGTGCCTCCCTTTCGCTACAAGCCATGCAGCACCTTACGTGATCAAGGCCCACACACCTGCCTCCGCCATTCTGTTTCATGTTACAAAATCACGCACCGCGTGACGAATTCAGTTTGCGGCCTGCCACTGCATGATCCTGGGAGTCAAGTGGACCACATGAGCTTCGTCATCTCACACCCTCCCCTCGATCCAACTCCAACGGCCGACGCCGGGGCACAGCCATCGCAGGTGTTGACCATCCTCGAAACGGTCAGCCACAAACCGAAAGAGGAGGGCAGCGGCCCGGTTGTTGTCCGTTGTTATCTCGGTTCGGATAAATCAACCCTGCGCATCGCCAAGATCTACGATGGCTTCGAGTACGAGCTGGCTGAGTTTGGCAAGAAGGGTGTCGATTGCATGTATCTTGCCGACATGGGTTACAGCAGAGAGGCAGCCGCATACGAAGCCATACCCGCGAGGTTTCAAGGTGGTTTACAACGCGGTTCGCCCATCTTGGGGTGTATGGCGAGTGGATTCCAAAAAGCTGGGTTGAGAGCGGCAGTTGTAGCCATCTCCTTGTTGCGAAATGGTTGATCCGGGGGTGGATGGAATCACCCAGATGCCGGCCGCCGTCCGAGGACTTCTTCAACAACCCAGCCCACCAGTACCGGGATGAAAAGTTGCGCGCCTTAGTCGAAGAGATGAGGTCCCTTGTAGCGAAGGATCGACGGAAAACTTGAAGCGGCTGAGGCCTCTCGTCATCTGAGGACGAGAGTTCCCCAAAGGACATCGATACCAACAAATCACTTGTGTCAGAAATATGTCCCTAGTTTCTCAAATTCTGAGTTTTAATCTACTATGTTTTTGCATTTGGGAATGTTTGCCGTTGTGACCGAGCCGGGTAGGTACGTTTCAACTTTCTCGTGCTGAAGTTTGCCAATAAAGGGGGGAAGAAAAACCGATTAATTACCCCTCGGATAGCTTGAGAGCATGGCTCTCACCTGTCCCTTCAAAGCCACAATGTAGGGATTCCCAAGTGCGAAGTTTCGATCACAGCCATAATCTAACAAATCACCTCCTCCCTCAAACAGCTTATCGCAAGTCCAGATTGCCCAATGTCCCTGAATAGCTAATACCGGCACCTCTCTCCACAGGTTAGATCATCTACCACGGCAATATTGCAACCTGTAATTGCATCTGGCGCCACGATAATACTCTCATCAGGTACACGACGTATCTCCGCGGCATGGGCGTGCATCATTTCCTGTTAATTAAACGTTACGATCCGATCCCGAGGGTACATCCCAGAAAAGTCCATCATCAACATCTCCCGATACCTAGCGACGGAGCAAACCAAACCGCCCCAAGCCACCAACACCCACGAGCACCAAACCCTCCCCGGTCCCCTCTCCCCCTCAAACAACCGTCGCATCCAACAACCGATCCATCATCTCACCGACCACCTCATCCCACCACTCCTGCGTCTGCCACCCCCGATCCACCAGCACCTGAAAGCCCTCGTACAAAAAATTCTGACAATTCCAATCCGGCGGCCGAGCCCCCGCCGGAACACCCGCAATCGCCTCGACCGGCTCCATCTCGCGCCCGGCCGGCACCCGCAGCGCCCCCGCGCTGACGTGGCCCACGTAGGCGCGCGCCTCGAACCACGCCACCCGCTCGTGCAGCCGGTCCACCACCCACAGGTCGGTGGCCTCGTCGCGCTGGGTGTGGATTGTTTCGTGGTAGTGGGGCAGGGTGGGGGAGGTGAGGTAGAGGAGGGCGTGCCGGTGATTGTAGGTGTCGGTGGGCTCGCCGCGGAAGATGTAGACGGTGAGGATGAGGGTGGTGGAGGCGGGGTCTGTGGGGGTGGGTTGGGGTTTGGCGAGGGTATGGAGTGTTGTTTCGGTTTCGTTGTCGGTGCTCGCCGCAGTTCTGGTCTTCTCGGGGCTCCTCGGTGCGTGTACTCGGCTTAGTATGGTTGGTCTGTCGCCGGAACCCTGTTCCTCGGGTTGGGTTGGCTGAGGGTGCTGGTCGTGAATGTACTGGAGACCATGGCGGGCGCGGATCGATTATGAAGCAAAAGATATTGATGTCTTTGAAGGTGATATGAAGATCCTGATCAACTGCCGCTGGAGAGCACCTAAGCACCAATCAGTGTGCCCAATTTTTACCCCTCGCCCCCGGTGTTTCTCGCCGCAGGTGGTAGGATATGCAGCGACCCACCCACAACTCGAGCGGTTCCATGACCTGGGGCGTTCTTCTGCGCAGACACGTCTGTTGGTTATCCGAAAGGCTTGGCATGTGTTGATCGCAAGGATAAATTATGATAATAAGAAGGTGATGCGATGGGAAGGAAGGGGGAAAATCTAGCGTGAAAGAAAGAAGGGGTTGTATCAAAATCAGGGAAAAGACAGAAAAGGAAAGGGAAAACACTGAGATATGAAACGCATAACGGGACGTGGAATTGAGTGAACGGAAAGGTTGATAAATCGCCATATTGAAAACCGACGGGCAATCAGGGATACACCCTTGGCAATTGATGAACCAGCGAGAACTTATCAAACCTCTGAGCAAATCTATAAGCAGTAACTATTATTAAGTAGATCAATGATGAAACGGTCGGTAGCAGGATTCAGATTACGATTCACCCAACTAGAGACGGAATGAAACCAAGCACAAGACTCGCGAGAACTAGCCAGATGTGGGGCAAAACTCAAATACTCTTCGTAGCAGCCAATAAGAGGGCTCAACAGGTGGGTTAAGGCGAAGTCAATTGACAAAACCTTGCGCCTTTCCCCTTCTGACTTCCCCAAACTCATAACCCGAAATGCGACCTCTTATAAGGCGATGCTGTAGCCACCTCCGGGGTGGCAGTCTTAGACCCAGCTCACCAAGTTCACCAAACAGCTTTTGCTCTCCTTTCCCCGTTTGGCTCATCCGACGGAACCACGGTGGAACAAATGCATCCTGGCCGTCTCGCAATGCCAACGCCGATGCCATCGTCGTTGGTGGTGGAGCCGCCGGCATTGCCGTCGTCGGCAACCTCCTCGAAGCCATACCGCGCGGCAGGATAGTGTGGATCGACCGGTCATTCGACGGCGGTAGCATTGGTCAGCTCTACCGTGAGATACCGAGGTGTGTTTCCATCTTGCTGACTCAATTTGATCACTAACAACTTACATCTTAGCTACTCCCCGGCGGGCGACTTCCTTCAATATGCTCAAGCCCTCGCTACATTCCGGGACATATGCGACGCAGCGCCGAAACCCAACGCCCTCGACGCACTGCGGGAGCTCGATCCCGAGCTGACCTGCCCGCTCAAACACGCAGCCGACATGCTCACACTCATCTCCGACGGCCTGATCCAGCACCCGCGCGTCCAGCCCGTGCTGGGCACCGTCACGCACTCGGTGCGCAATCCCAAGGTGAGTCTCCCCACGTCCCCCTTCAACCAACACCAACCCACCCATTAACTCACACCCCCTCCCCCCCCTACAGACCCGCCACTGGCAAACAACGCTCACTCCCAACCACGACATCGGCAGCCTCCCGCCCACCTCCCCGCTCGCCCCCCACCACCGCTACTCCCAACATCAACAACACACGGCCCCCTTGCTCGTCTACTGCGTCGGCACGCGCCCGCGCACCACCGACCTCCCCTCCCCCGTCTCCCGCCTCACCCTCGACACCTGCCTCTCGCCGACCCGCCTCGCCCGCCTGCTGCCCGCCGACGAGCCGCGGACGATCGCGGTCGTGGGCGAGGGCCACGCGGCGGTGCTGGTGCTGAGGAATTTGGTCGGGTTGGTGCAGGGCGGGGTGCGGCCGTTGGTGAAGGTGAGGTGGTTTAGGCGCGGGGGTGGGGGTGGGAATGGGGAATGGGGGGGGTGGTTGGGGGAGTGGGTGGGGCTTAGTGGATTTGCTGGACTGCAGGGCGAGGCGGCGCGGTTTGCGCAGACGGTGCTGGAGGGGGATCGGTTGGCGGAGTCGGGTGTTGGGGAGTTTGTCACGCGGTTTGTGAATACCGCCCTATGGAGAAAGGGATTCGCCGAGAATGGAAGAGGGAGGTGCCGGGAGGGGGAGGCGATCAAAGAAAGGATTTGGAGGGTGTCGATTATGTGGTGCAGGACGCGGGGTTCCGGCGGACCCGGTTGCCTGAGGTCAGGCCTGGGTTGGGCGTGCTGGGGGGTCCGATAGGCAAGCCGAAGAATCTGGTGTTTAACGCGTCGGCGGGGTCGTTCTATCCGAATGGGGCGAGCAGAGACAAGGTGCTGGGGCTGTTTGGCGCGAGGAGCGCGTTTCCTGGGGCGCAGCGCTCGGCAGCGGCGCTGGGACAGCCGACGGTTGGGGTATGGGAGTGTATGCTGTCTCTCCAGAAGATGGTGCCGAGGTGGGTGGTGGCGACGAAGAGGGGGCGTTTGGTAAAGATGCCGGACTGGGATCGGGAGCCATCGGGGCGGCGGTCCCAAGAGTATTATTAGGTGTGTATGTAATATGATGGAGGATGTAGGAGTAGTGCGCAAAACCCACGTTGTAACGTGTGTCAACATTACACTGTAAACTATCGCAGGTAATATCGCGGGGATTCGGCCGACCGAGGCGGGGTTATAACTCATGATGTGGTGACTTGCTTTCGACGATGCCACAGCAGACCAGAACTAGTGCAGTGGTAAGAGTGTGAGCCGTCGATCCCCCCCTCGGCAGCAAGACACGGCGCTGGGGCTGGTGAAATGACCACACTCCTCTTTTTCGATTCCTGGTTGGGGCGTTTCCATTTTATTATTTCAATACTTTTTCTATGCTTATTGTCGTCCCAACCTACGGCCACCCGATCCTCATCCTTGTTTATCTGACCACATCTAACGAGCCCGGTTTATTTATCAATCTCTAAAGATATATATGGAGTAGAGCTGACTGCGGTTAATCTCTCGTAAGTGTCTTGTGTGTGATCGAGTGAAGAATGGATATGGGGGATTTGTGATTACTATTGGACTGGGCATAGGCCCTAGAAAACTAACCGCCGACTACGCCGCGAATACTGATCCCCCGGGACACAAACTTGAACGCCGGCCGAGTCGGGCACCCAAGATACATTACTGTCAACAAATCAAGCTCCCTGAGGCAACGCCTTCAACGCCTATGACTTCAAAACTCCAACTCCACCTTACACCCAATCCCCCCCCCCCCCCCATCCTCACTTATCATATTAGATGGTAGTGACCTCAGCAGGGAGCGTTGCCGTAGAGGTAGGCACCTCAGGGGCGTCAGTAACAGCGGACGGGGCCGGCGCGGTATTCGTAGGGGCCGCCACTTCGTAGACATTGAGACGGCCCGCGGCACCACACCACTGGGCGGCGTCACCCATGCACACCTCACTGCACTGGTCCTCCGACGCGGGCGCACCGGCCAGCTCATCCCCACAGTAGCACTCGCGGGCCGTACTCAACCCCACAATACCCGAATCCCTGGCAGGTGCCGGCGCAGTCTCGACCCGTCATGTTGTCGGGCACGGACTTTCCTTGCCGTCAGCACGCGGGCGGCCAATCGTCGACCTAGCACGACTTGTAGAACGAAGCCAGCCAACGGCGGGCAGGTTGGCCGGGTCGTCGCGACAATCCATGCTGGTGAAGACGTTGAGGCGGCCGGTGTCGCCGCACACGCTGTCATACTCGCCGCCGCAGCGCATGGCGCACTCGGCCTGGGGCACTTCCACGGCGGTGGGCTCGAGGTCCGCACCGCAGTAGCACTGCGACCCGAACTCGACGCCGAAGTAGGCGTAGGCGGCGCATAGCCCGGCGCACTTCTCGAGGGTCATGGCCGGGTCGAAGTGCGCGCGTCCGCGCAGCGAGCGGTTTACGTTGTCGTCGGTGAAGCACCCAACGTACTCGAAGTTGTCGCCGACCGTGTCCGGGGAGGGGAGCGGCGCGCCCCACACGTTGATGCGGCCGCCGGCGCCGCAGACTTGGGCGTCGTCACCTGCGCAGGGCGAGGAGCACTCGGATTCGGCGACGGCGACGGTGGGGGGTCTGGGCGGGCTGTTGCCGCACCAGCACTCGCGGCCGTACTCGACGCCGAAGTAGCTGTAGTTGGCGCAGTGGGCGGCGCATTTTTGAGCTGTCATGTCGTCGGCGCCGAGGAGGTTGTCGGGGAGGACGCGGGCGCCCTGGTCGACAAAGCAGCCTAGGTAGGGGGCGTCGAGCGTGGCGGGTTTACGGGCGGCGTAGAGATTGTTGGTGTAGACATTGAGGCGGTCAGCAGCACCACACTTGTCGGCGCTGTTCCCGGAGCAGGAGAAAGAGCAATCGCTGTCGTCGACGGCTGAGCCTGAGTGGGAGTCGGCGCAATAACACTCTCGGCCGTACTCGAGGCCGAAGTATTTGTATTTGGAGCAGAAGGCCGCGCAGCTCTCGACCGTCATGGCATCATCGGCATACCCCGCGCTGTCGAGAAGCCTGTGGCCCTGGAGATTATCGACGAAGCATCCCTCTCGGGTGTAAGGGGCAGGTTCGCGCTTGTGCGGCAGAGCCTGCGCGGTGGCGGCTAAGGCGATGAGCGAGACGGCGGCGCGGAGGCCGATTGTGGAGCTGCGTGAGGCCATGGGAGAGAAACGGAGAGGTGCCGATTGTAGAACCTTGCGATGGAATGTAAATCACCACTGCAAACTGTTTCTCTGAGGCACAGTCACTCTCTCGAAAAATCTCCCTAGCTGCTGGGCGCGCCTTCCCTCTTATCCCAACCTCCGCCCACCATCGCCACTCCAAGTCTAAACCGCATATGGACTCCAAAACCTGGACTCTGAGCTCTAGACTCCTGGCGGTTTTGGTTGATGGCGTTAAAGGGAGATTGGGGAATTCGATAGACCGCAAACTTCGTCAGCCAGCCCGAATCACCCCGGCTCGCCCGGGTCTGGGCCTTGGCCTACAGTTCTATTGCCCGTGACAAGGAGCACATCGTCCGGCGCCCCACGATGCTGGGCCACGTGGTCGTGGAGAAAATGGGGACACACAAAGCCCAACGGTCCAAACCCAGCACCAGAAGCCGCCCGTTGGAGAGCTGAGGAAATAGGTTTGCCTGTCGAGCCGCCCAAAGTGGAATGGGCTTAGCCAACTAGTGGTTCAGCTCTGCCAAGCTAGCCCGACCAAGTCTATTCCCCAGGGGCTCGACTCAGCGATATTGACTTCAGAAGTCCGGGGTTATCGCCGCTTTCGTACTTCGGCTCAGCCCTCGGTGGGTACATGTAACTTCATCAAGCTCAATATGGAACCACTCCTCACTCTTCAAAGGAAACCACAAGTATTTAATAATACAATTATTGTAAATTTATAACTATGATTGTGAGTATTGTAACTTAATTATATCGGATAAGTCTTAAGCTTTCCCCGGATGCAACTTGATCACCAGGTGCTTCTTATCCGGGTCGACAAACGACACATTCTCACACGGCCAAAAGTGACCATGGAACGTCCTGAACCACGCGCCCAGTCCGTCCTTACAAATGACACGAATCTCCCGCACATTCACAAAAGCAGTCAAAGCCGAAGATTCAAAATAATAGAACACAGAGTCCGTGCACTCACGCGTAATTGTGAGCCGCCGGATGAGCGGCGCCACCGGCTTGAGCGTCTCGAACCGCGTATTCGGCTCGACAGAGACCATGTCGATATCCGGGTTTAGCCACACGTAATACCGGTCGCGTTTGGCGGTGCCCGCGGGGCTGATCTCGGAGAGAGCCCGCTGGTACAGCCGCAGGCCGCGTGCTTCCCGGCATGCTTGGAGTGCGGCCGGCACTGGTGTGTATGAGACTACGTGCGGGACGTAGTTGGGTCGTTTGCTGTCGTCATCGGGCGCGGCGGTGTTGGCGATGGCGTCCTCGTAGACGACGCCGACCTTAACAGTGCGCGGTTCGACCGTCAGCTCCCAAATCCTGGCGCGGAGCTCGAAAGGAAGGCAAGGGAACAGGTGGAAGGTGTCCGCCTCTTGAGGCAGAGGAAGTGCCTCAAATGGATGCTATGGTTGTTGCAGCTAAAGCTGCAGGAGCCGAAACTAAGAACTAACTGTGCGTGGGCTTGTGCACAGGCCAACCTGCAGGGCGCTGGCCCTGCAGGTGCCAACACCGCCTTTGGTTCGGTGCGAAGAGTCGCTGCGGGTTCCATCGTCAGAGATTGGCTTTTGTCCTGCATCCTGTTAATCATTCCGCGAAGAGGGTTGCGGAAAAAAAGAGGTGACTGTGTGCCTGTTCAAGTCACGGGTTCTCCCAGCTCCCCCTTGGCGCCAAGACACGCGGCGAGTCAAAAGTGTGCCTACGGGTCTCCCGCTCTCACCCTTGGCGCCAAGACTCACTTTTCCTTTTTTAATATGAATATTTGGTATCACAGGTCCGAGCGTAACAAAAACCGGGTTTTTGGTTTTTCGAAAACTAGTGGGTCCCGCCCTTTCACGGCTATTTTGGACGCGTACTTGAAGGGGCATCGCCCCACTCGACCTTCCCGGTCCTCTGAAAAACCTCAGATAACAACCGTCGATGGATGGATGGAATTTATTTCGCCCGGAGGCACTGGGCCTATAGGGCCTCAGCACGCTAACTACATCCGGATCATATCGTTTTGCCTTTAACTCGATAATAACCGTCGTAGCCGCGGAGAGCAAGCGGCGAAAATGAAGGTCACGTGACCTGGTGTTGTATGACGTGACCTTCCAAAATCGCTTGGGAAAAGCGTCCCCCGACCGCGCGTGCGCGTGTCTCGTGCGTGCCAGCTACTACTTACTACCTACTTCACAGCCACGGTTGTCAGCCTCCAGAGCTTTCTCATCCTCTTCATCCTCTTCATTCTCTTCATGCTCTTTACCCGACTACCATGGCGGCTACTGCAATTGAGGATGCTCGCATACGCGAAGCCATGGAATATTACCTTCTGAACCTGGCCGGCACAGTACCCCAGAACACAGTCAGGGCTTACAAACCCAAACAGCGAGAGTGGAAGGTGTGCGCTGGTCCCTCGACGACCTTTTAGATCTTGAACTTTTCCTTTGCTAATTTCAAGAACGTCATTGAAGGAGTGGTGCGCCAAGAACTGGGAGCCGATCCCTGAAGATTGGGCTACCGGACAGTCAACCTGGCCGCTAGGGCGACCACTGCCTGGCGATCTCGTCGATGAAGGCAAACTACTACTTTTCATGAAGACGGAGGTCATAAGTCGAGCACCCTGGAGAAGGCCTCGACTTCAGAAGCAGAGGAAACGCCGCTTGGATGCTGCTGTGGCAGTAGGACAAGTTGTCGCCGCGAAACGGCGCCGGCGCGAGGAGAGTTACGTTCCCCAGCCGACTTACTAGCCCCCACCCCCCCCTCCCCCCCCTCCCGTCCCGTCTATGCTCCCTTACTAACCCTTGCGGCAGGCGAGACCATCGAAGTCGCTACTGCTCCGGCGGCAGCGGTAGAGACCAAGGTCGAGGAGGAGGACGAGCCCTTGATCGCTGCGCCGGCTCTCGAGCTCGCCTACAACTCCGTGCGTATATATATTGCAGCGATGCAGAGGCTGTATGACGAGCAGAAAAGCCGGCACATTAACCCAGCGCCTCGACCACAAGGGATAGCTCTTAAGGCTCTGAAGAAGAGTATCCTCGCCGTCGTCTGGGCTCGCAAGCGCAAGGAGTATTCGGACCGTCTCGAAGGGACGATCAAAGACACTTATACAAAGGCACAAATTCCGCGACACCACGAGGTTGCATGGCGAGAAGACAGTGGCGAGATCTCGTGCCTTCTCCGGACACAGGTGGACTTTCTGTTTGGCAACCACATGCTCCTCCGGCAGAGCAATCGCCGGCCCATGGAGCTCCCTGACTGCTTTCGTCTAGAGCTGCCCAACGAGGGCCAGAAGTCGAAAGAATTTCCAACGTATGCCCTCGTCGTCGTCATGAACCAGGGCAAGACGAACCAGCACGGCCGGATGGAGTATGGCGCGGCTCTACGGCACCGCGACGCCCGTTGTTGCCTTGTCAGCGCATTGGCCTTTTATCTCTTTTGGCGTTGGCAGGTCGAGCAAGTAGAGCCGTTTCCCACCTTCCAGTGCAGCGAGGACTGGTACGATATCAAGGTCTTGCGCCGGTCGGCAAAGGAAGTGACGAAGGAGCTTTCGGCCCAGACCGCAAATTCGTGGACGTCGAGGCTGTACGCCGCCTGTGGCATCAGGACTTCTAAGATTTCACATGCTCCTCGGGTTGCAGCGGCACAAAACGCCGACATGGACGGAGGATCAGAAGGACAAGTAAGTCGAGAGCGCTTCCGATTTCTGGTCTTTTTTTCATCATCTTGTTGTTATACCTTGTTTCCATGTTTACGGGGGGAGACTGGACCTAGTTGTTCACGCCTCCTCCTGGCACCGTTCGTCTACTTCCAGTCCTCCCTGTTGTGTGATCCCTACCGCTTGGCCCGACTTTCTATAGAGATGCTGATTTTTGTGTAAACCAGATACGGCGCGCGGGTAGATGGAATAACGGTGACCAATTGACAGGGTGTTACCTGAACAGTTTACCCTTTGAGTTTATGAGGTCTACGGCTGACTTTGACCCCGACTGGTCCGGGTCATACTTCCTACCGCGGGACACCGTCAAGCCGCCATTCGAGCTTTGTGCACGTATCTGGCCCTCTCTCGACAGGTGGAAAGACATATACAATACAGGATCTTCGAGTATGGAAACGAACAAGGCTACCGGCGCGTTTTTCGAGCTTCTCGACTGGTTACGAGAGGTGTTGCTACAGGACGCCGTCTTCCTCCAGAAGCTATACCCCCGGCATCCTCTATTTCAGGACCCGGTCTTCCAAAGCCCACAGTTTGCATCGTTCGCACTACAGGTCGAGAACGCCTGCCACGCGGCCGAGGAAGACAGTTATGTGGCCACCATTGATCGAGCCATCCCCGCCGTCGCCGAGAAGCTACGCGCCCTATCGAGCCAACAGACTGCCGCGAACCTCTGGACCGAAAGGGCGTTTGTCGAGCTTAGGCAGCAGGTTCAAAGGCTGGAGAAGAAGATGGAGGAGCTTGCCAAAGCCTCATACACCATTACGATCAGCCCGGGGCGGAGTACCGTCACACAACGGGTCGAGATGCCAAAGCGTGGGCGGCCAAGGGCGCCGGGCCGCGCGCCGACGGCGACGGCAATGGCAACGGCGCCACGAGATGACAGCACCGCTCCCGTTCCACCATCTTCTTCCAATGCAGCAGAGGCAGAGCGGGGAGCCGTTCTGCAGCCTGATACAGCGACTCGGCTGCCGTTGCCACCAGTCGAGCCAGTCGCGCCCAGCGCGCCCAGCGTGCCCAGGTTTGAGGTCCCTTTGGATATTCGACGTATCCCGGATTTGTGGCACTTGTGGAGGTATGGGAGGGCTGGCATGCCTTCAGTAGAGTCACTAGAGGCCAGGTATGGCGCTGCTTGGCGCCCCAAGTCGCAGAAGTCCGTCTTCTGCGGCCGGAAGGCAATTGTGGACTTCATTCTGCGCAAGTCGCGCGAGCGGGACGGCCTGCAGAGCGCGGCCGAACACGCACCACGCGTTATTGCGCAAATGGAGGAGCTGTGCCCCAAATGGTCCCTCGACAAGGTGACGAAAGCTATCAAGAACGGGGATCTGGAGCGGAGATGGCCGTCGGAGGCGTGAAAAGGCTTCTTTTCTCTAGCCGTGGTGTGGTGGTTGCATGATGGCAGATAGATACAGTAGTTAGTCAGATAGCGAACGTAGGTATGCAACTGCCTACCCTGCCTACCCTGTAACTGCAGTGATTTTATTGCGAGATGCGGAAATCCCATGGTGTTGAATGAGCGTGAAGAGGAGCGAACTAGACTATGTACATACATGATTAGCGGGCATGGCACCCTGAAAGATGGGGAAGCCCAGCAGTGTTGAGCGTGAAGAGTTGCGGGGTAGCGGAATCTAGTAGGCATGTGGCACCCTATAATTCCATTTTTCAGGGTGCCAGGCCCCTGGGTGTAAGCAAAAACCCGTGCATCTCAGCAACCACGGCGATGCAGGGCTCGTGAAGTGTACCGATCGATGCGACTCGACGAGTCACATCGATTGACACAGTTTTGCAATGGGATCTAACGGGTGGCGGTCGCGCAATACCCAGGGCTGCGAAAAATACATCTCCGGATGGTGATATCAAGGGCTTGGCGGTTTTTTGCGGGGTTCTCCAAAAACGCGCCATACGTTCCAGACCTGAGATGAACTCCTGATAACTACCTAGGTAATACGAAGACGATCGGTAATTCGGTATTCAACCACAGACATTCTTAGATTTCCACCGGCGGCAGTGTCTACATATTAGGGCCTCGAGTCTTTAGCGAGTATTGCAGAAGAGTATATATACACCAATGGCCCGATTGCTGAGCACCCTGCATCTTTGACGGGCCGTCTTTCTTCCTACACCATCATCAAGGAACTGCACAAGGCCGCTGATGAAGCCGCCGTATACCTTGCCAGGTAAGTTCCGGTCGCGTTCCCTTGCGGCGATTGATATCGCCTACTAAACCACCGAGTTGGGTACAGGAACCAGTGCCATGAGAAATGCATCGTCAAGAGCATCCGGGGACACTGGCGGCTGCAAAACGAAGCCGACATCCTCAAGCGCTACCAGTCCAAGATCCCGTTCCTTCGTCCCTTGATTGACGAGATCCAAGAGCCGACCGACCCACCTTCCATTGTTCTGGGGTACTTAGACAGCGATGTCCTAACGGAATCGGACAAGAAAAGGTTGTCTCGTCCCGAGATCAAACAAGTAGCCAAATGTGTTCTCGAAGCCCTTCGTGTTCTCCACAAGGATGGCATGGTTCATACAGGTTGGCCCCTCCAACACCCCGCTCCCCCCCCTTTTTTTTGGCTCCCGCACGATTCGGGCCGTCACGGCCAGGTGAAGTTAACTCGTCCTTAGATGTCAAATTGGACAACATATTTGCCAACCATGGCCAAGACCAAGGCGCTTCTCCGACATGCAACTTGGTGACTTGTGGAGGCGTGGTATCCCAAGAGTCCAAATTTGCGAAGGAGGGACACATTATTGGCGCCGCTTTCACCCGCAGTCCAGAAGCCATGTTCCAACTACCCTGGGGCACCGCCACGGATATTTGGTCCTTTGGCAACGCTGTAAGATACATTTCCACTTAATAACGACCTTGCTAATTTAGATTCTTTGCGCTCCAGATACTCAGTCTTCTGTTCGGTGGTGGCTACCATCTATTCAACCCCCAAATTGATAGAGTTCCTCCCGAGGACGAAGACTACGAGCTCACTGTTTTGAAACGGATGTATCGGTTCTTTGTCCCATATCCACAGGCCTACGAGAGTTTCAATGACCCGGACACCATTGCGACCATCAACTTCATCAACCATTAAGAGCCCCCGGCGAAGCCATTCTCCCGGGTAACCACCCGGGAGATTCCCCTGGCAGACAAGAAGTTCCTTCTAAAGATCATGAAACTGGATCCCCGGGACCGGCCGACCTCGGAAGAACTGCTTGCAGATGAATGGTTCACTGAGGAATCAGAAGACACTCGAGAGCCACTTCCTGTCTCCAAAAAGGTTCAGCAAACTGCCGAAGCAAAGAAGGATGGCGAGATTTGATCTGGGTTGCTTGTCAGGCGCTGGTTTCGAGAGAGATTGCACCTAGACATTGCCAATCCTGCTTGTCTCCCTACACAATTCAGGGCTCAATACGAACGCGAGTGGGCCACTCTTCGCGAGAAGGTGACAGTGGGGTTAACGAGCTGTAGGTAATCCAGCACTCACCGGAGGTGATAAACATTCCCCCGCATTCATTTGCCGGCCTCGTCTTTACCACCCCGAAGTCCACTCCACGCATTTATTTCCGTCAACCCCTCTTCATGAGTAGAAACAGGGTGGTATCCCGTTGTGGGGCGGCCCACCAGATGAGCATCCATTGACATAGAGCTCCTATTCCTGCCCATGGCGCTCGCTGCTTCTTTGACCGAGCAGCATCTTCGGCGGTAATCAAGATCACGCCAGGGGTCAAAACCCGCTGATGTTACCCTGCTAGTCATAGCTCAGCACAGCACGCTTTACGGACGACGGACAGCTCGCATCATCGTTCCCCCGAGGCGTGAATGTCATGGCCATATTATGAATCGCTAATATCCCCCGCCCTCGAGGGCAAGCCACCTAGAGAAAGCAGGGAAACTCTAAAGTCCAAATCCTGTCAGTTCCGCGCCTCAGCATGGCGCGAGCCACTCGTCTCCTTGCCTTCATGGGCATCCTCAGGATTCTTGCTGCTGCCGCTCGGGCCAACGCGGCCAGCAGTGTCAAGATCAGCTGGGTTGGCGACTCTCCAGCCCAGAACCTCGGGACGACCTTCGGCTTGCCCTGGCCACAAGGGAAATACCAGCCCGACAAGGTCGACTTTGACGTCGCAGACGGACAGACCCCTCTTGAGTCGTGGGTGACGGGTTACTGGCGCGACGGCTCCATCAAGTGGTCAGCGCATGCAATCCCAAAGACTGATGACGTGACCGACGGATACACTATTAGGGCCATGCCCACTGTTAAAGGCAAGCCCAAGGGCAAGCGCCAGACGACCAGCCTGTCGGTGGAGGATCGCGAGAGTGAGGTAACAGTTAACACCGGCAAACTCACCATCTCATTCCCCAAGGAGGGCCGCTACATTGTCAGCTCCATCAAGACCGCCGGGGGCAAGACCGTCGGAAAGAACGGCAGGTTGGTGCTCCACAGCCAGAACAACATCCCAGACACGGCCGATGACCGCACCGACAAGGCCATTGACCGTTCCAACTTTGAGAGCAACATCGAGGAGGTGACAGTCAGCGAGGGCAACTCGGTTCGTGCCCTCGTCACGGTCCGTGGCAAGCACACGACCACAGAGGGCTCCGATCATGAGGACTGGCTCCCATTCGTCGTGCGATTCTACCTCTACGCCGGCTCCGAGGCCATCCGACTAGTACACAGCATCACCTTTGACGGCCAGCATGACAAGGACTTCATCTCGGGTCTGGGTATCCGCTTCCAGGTCCCACTTGAGGGAGAGGAGCTGTACAACCGTCACATCCGCCTGGCTGGCACCGACGGTGGCTTTCTGAACGAGGCCGTCAAAGGCATCACTGGTCTCCGTCGCGACCCTGGCGAGGCCGTCAGGACCGCCCAGGTGCAGGGCAAGGCGCTTCCCGACGAGGCGACTTGGGACACGCGAGTCACGACTCGTCTGCACTGGATTCCTGCGTGGAACGACTACAGCCTCAGCCAGCTCTCCCCCGATGGCTTCACCCTAAAGAAGAGGACCAAACCAGGCCAGAGCTGGGTCAACATCCTCGGCGGCACCCGATCCGGTGGATTAGCTTATCTGGGTGGTGCAACTCGGGGCGGCCTAGCTGTCGCTCTGCGGGACTTCTGGAAGCGCTATCCCACGGGTCTCGACATCGCCAATGCCGGATCCGACGAGGGCCAGATCACCCTCTGGTTGTACAGCCCAGACGCCGCTCCGCTTGACCTTCGGGGTTATCACGACGGTCTGGGCCTGGATACATACGAAAAGCAGCTAGACGCCCTTGAGATCACATACGAAGACTACGAGAAAAACTTCGACACGCCCTACGGCATTTCCCGGACCAGCGAGGTGTTTCTGTATGCCTTCGAGAGCACCCCCTCCAGCGACACGTTGGCCGAGCTGAACGCAAACGCCCAGGAGCCCCCCGTGCTAGTTGCCGCGCCCAAATACATCAAGGAGACCAAGGCGCTGGGATCGTACTGGGGCCTCCCCGACACGTCGACACCAGCCAAGGCCAAGATCGAGAGCAACCTCGACTTCCTCGTGAAGCACTACCAGAAAGAGGTCGAGGCCCGCCGCTGGTACGGATTCCTCGACTACGGCGACGTGATGCACACGTACGATCCCAGCCGGCACCAGTGGCGCTACGACATTGGCGGGTACGCCTGGGACAACTCGGAGCTGTCGCCGGACCTGTTCCTCTGGCAGTACTTCCTCCGCACGGGCCGCGCCGACGTCTACCGGCTCGCCGAGGCCATGACGCGCCACACGGGCGAGGTCGACGTGTACCACCTCGGCGACTGGAAGGGGCTGGGCACGCGGCACGGCGTGACGCACTGGGCCGACAGCGCCAAGCAGGCGCGCATCTCACAACCACAATACCGCAAGTACTTCTTCTACCTCTCGGGCGGCGACGAGCGCACGGGCGAGCTGCTCGCGCACGCGCTGGACGCGGACCAGACGTACGGGCTCCTCGACCCGGTCCGCAAGGTGCGCACCGACGGCTGGACCCCCTCCCCCGGCGCGCCCGTCACCTTCGGCCTGGGCACCGACTGGGCCGCGCTGGCGGCGGGCTGGCTGCTCGAGTGGGAGCGGCGCGGCCCGCGCTGGCAAGAGGCCCGGCAGAAGCTCACCAACACGGCCGCGGGCATCGCGCGGCTCAGGAACGGCTTCGTCACGGGGTCGGCTTCGTACCGGATCGACCAGAACGGCACGCTCCAACCACCGCCGACCGACCCGGACAACCAGGGCGTGGTGGCCATCTCGCACCTCAACGCCGTCTTCGGCATGCCCGAGGTTGTCTCGGAACTGCTCGAATACTGGGGGGGCGGGGACGACGGCGACGGCGACGGCGCGCCGCGGGGGTTCCGCGAGGCGTGGCTCGACTACGCCTACTACTACCTGGCGACGGCGGACGAGCAGCGGGCGCGGTACGGCGCGAGCTTCAGCGGCGTCAGCCTGCGGCAGGCGCACTCGCGGCTGTCGGCGTACTACGCGGCCGTGCAGGGCAACGCGACCGTCGCGGCGCGCGCGTGGGCCGACTTTGGCCGCAGTGACGGGCTCAAGGACACGCAGGAGTTTGCAGCGGTGCGGGTCGGGGGCAGCGCCGTGGTGCATCCTGTTGAGGAGGCCGCTTGGCTGAGTACGAATGATTTTGCGCAGTACGGTTTGGCGAGTATCCAGAACTTGGCGTATGTCGGGGATAGTATTTGACCGGGATGCTGTGTAGCTACCTTACCTACCTGCGAGGCGATTGTCCCTAAAGTTGCGCCTGTTCCGCCGGGCTGTACTACTGCGTTGACATTGACAACCTACATGTAAGTATAAATTATGATTTATGATGTCTGTGGCCCTTCTGTGCTATGACCCCTTGGACGTGTTCAGAGAAGCGAGCCGAGAAAAGAAAGTCGTACTGCCCTCTCCTGTAGCCCGCTTACAGCATACCACCAGTGGTGCTCCCAAACTGGGACTTAATGGGGTGTGAACGAAATAGAATGGGCAACACCTTCCGCCTCCGTCGCCGGTTGGATGGATGGATGGTATTTATTTCGCCCGGAGGCACTGGGCCTATAGGGCCTTAGCACGCTAACTACATCCGGATCAAATCGTTTTGCCTTTAACTCGTACAAGCCCCCTACTTCTTCCCTCTTTCTCGCTGCACCATTTACCTCTTGCCTTGGTTGTTGTTAGCAGATCAGCTTGGAGGCTACTTTCTCCAAGTGTTCAGCGTCCTATCTTCAGCAGCTAAAGCGGGACCTGCAACACCCTTGCAGCCGTTCCGAAGCTGGCCCCAGGTAAGGACCTGGCCCGTGCCAGCTGAGTCATCAATTGCAGTTGTGCGAAAGGCAATCCGAAAAAGTCATCCGCTCACACCAGCCGATGCAGCCGAATGTGCCCAATCGCACCTTGTTCAATCAGCCACATCCAAGAGCCAGCAATCAGAGGCACCCAGTGACATTCCGTTCAACGAATTGAATTTAGTGCAATCGAATGCACCCAGTTGCACCTCGTTCAATCAGCCGTCTCCAGTTCAATCAATTGACCCCAGTCACAGCTGAGACCTACCACTGACGTGTATGTGCAACAAAGCTTATGTGATTATATGTAAGGGATCGGTAAGTTACAATTTATAGCTTTAACTGCATAACTAGGCAATAGCCGGCTTTCGCACTCGGGGCTTGGTTGAGGTTCTACCGTGGGGGTTCGGTGAGTACCTAAGGAATTTCCAAATAGGATTTGAGTTTTGGGACGAGATCATCGAACTCTCTGTAAGTGGCGGATGGTATCTTCCTCACTCACGATGTTGCCGCCAGTATATCCCGGCAGCATTAATACCATTCGATGAGTTGTTGCATATTCAAGACTACTACAAGAACAACTTTTTTGCCAAACCCCCCGAGAACGGAGGTTATGGTTATGAGTGATATACTTGAATTGAACGATAGATTAAACGACGCGTTCAAATGCCAAATCAATGCTAAACAATAAACATCGCGAGGGTTTGGACCCTACCCTGCTCGTGGGTATCTGAGATGGAGATCCAAAGGACATAAAAACAAAGAAGAAGATGCGTTTTGCAGCGGCCCGCTCGTCCGTTCGGCCCCGCGCTCCCCAGACTGACCCAACCCCCTTGGTCGTAGTTATATATAACACAGGTGAATAAGCCAAAAAACGAAAAGAACGGTGCGCCGACAGGCGCGTGGTGTCGTCATTCTTCATAAAACGACGTTAGATGTGCAAACCCCTCATTCGTGGTCGCATTTAAAAGTGCAAGGCTGGCCAGAGCATCGAGTAGTCCTCGGTCACGGCCCTGATCTCTGACTCGACGGTGGTTGGACGCTTCGACTCCGCCTCCTCCTCGATGGTCTCCGAGATGTCGCCCGCTACCCTCTTTGCAGGAACCGAGCCACCCGTGTCCTCGATGCCATGCTTATCCTTTTTGTGCTTTTTGAGGTTGTCCAGTCGACTGAACGTCTTGACACAGCCCGGTACGTCACACGCCAGCCGCACGCCCCTATGTGTGTTTTTGTGCTTGCGGAGGTACCCCTTGAGGTTTTCCCTGACACCTCTAGGCTTCCATTGGCACTCGTCGCAGACGAGGTCTTCGACGGATGACTCTGGGCCTGGTTTGCCTTGAGTGGCGGCCGAGTGTTGGCCGTGCTGGTGGGTGTGCTGGTGATTGTGCGGGTGGTTGTGTTGATGATTGTGTTGCTGGGTGTGTTGTTGGTCGTGCTGGGGCTCGTGTTGTTGGGTGTGGGCGTGCTGATGATTCTCCGCGCGCGGTGTTAGAGCACCATGACCACCTCCTTCTGCAATGGGAGTCCCAAAGACCGTCGTCATGCTGCTCTGCATGGACTCTTGGCTTAGCGCCCGAGACATGGCGTGGGTCGAGGCCGACTGTACTTGGTAGTAAGGAGACGCAGCCGTAGTAGGAGACGTCGGACTTGACAATCCGCTACTGACGCCTCGCCCCATGTCGCCCAGCATGTTCGGTTGAAGAGGGAAGCAAGGGCCTGGCCCGGCGGATGGCGGGTTTGGCTGTGGGGTTTCGACCTCTACTTTTGGACGCCACCAACTATTGTTACTCGATGTTGCCGAACGCAAGTCCGCAGGTGATATCGGGCTCTGGGGCAAGGAGAGCGGCTCGTCTATGCTCATTGCCGAAGATGGTGGTACGTGGCCCGGGAGGGACGTTAGGCCAGCGTTGAAAGACATTTGCGGAGGGAACATGTATTGTTGTGAGGCCGAGATGTTGTCGTGGTCTTGTGACGTCCCGACAGCGGATTGGTAAGGACCCAAGCTAGGGTTGAATAGTGTGCTCTGCGAGGTATTTTGTGAGAGGCGTTCGGACGGACTCTCATCCATGGTTGAGGAAAGGGCAATCGACGATACTGTGGACGGCAGGTCGGAAGCACCCGCATTAAACCCCGGCCAGAACATGCTGCCGTCGACCTCGGGAAGATTTGACGCCAACACGGGTTTCTCGATAGTTGAGAAGCTCGGTGCTCCCCCTTGCGTAGGTTGTCCCGGAAAGGAACGAGGTGTTGATGGAAAGCCCTGGTTGTGTACGTAGAGCTGGGGGCGTCGGAGGTCGCAGTGCCCGGCCGCGTGTACCATCGCTGAGCCGCCCTTGAAAGTGCGGATCAAAGACGGCATTCTGTTTGCGGGATGGGTCCCTTCTTCCTGAGAGCAAAATCTCTCATCTTAGAACCCAAGGCTCCGTTTCCGCTGGATAGGCAAAGGGTTGCTGCGGCCTCCACCCCATCCACTGCGCCCAGTCCTTCTCGTTTTGTCGGGAAGCTATGGCTGGTGCTGCACTTGTCGCAGTCGAACTCGCCGCTAGGGAGCTCGGGGCAAGATAGGAGGTGCTGGATGACCTGAAGCGGCGCCACGAAGGTCCTGTGGCAGCGGGTCATGGGACAGCCATAGCTTTGCTGGGTCTGTTCCCCGACCGACAGCTGGTCCAGGAGCTCGCGAAGAAACAAGAGAACCATGCGCGCCGTGGTACCGTCTTTGGTGACCTTGTCCTCGTACCTGGTCCATGTACATCAGCCACGGGCGTCTGCGGGAGAAGTTTTTCGGTCGGGCGCCGACCGGGATGCTCGACGACGGCTTAACTCACGGGCATGGCACATAGTGGCCGCTCATGGGGGCTTGCTGGTGGACGGCGTGCGAGCCATGGTTGTGTCCGGTGTGGATGGCCGCTGTGAATGTCCCCGCATCGTGCATCGCTCGATGTTGAGGAAAGGTCGACATAGAGACTGGGGCTAAATGGCTGGGTGGCTCGCGGGGTGCATCCACTGCATCGGG